TTTTGGAGTGAGGGTCTCCCTCCAAGTTGCAATACTGCTGATACTGCATGCACTGGACTTGCATGTGGTGAGCTGCTGGGGAGTCCAAGGATGCTGGGGTTCCATGCACGCACCATTGTGCCTAGCTCATGTTTTCTGCTTTTTGCATCTGAGAACTTTTAATTGTTTATTTGGTACTTCGTGATTTTGTTTCGTTTTTGTGGTACTGGGTGTTGAACTCAGGCTTGTATACACTAGATGAGCACTCTATAGTCGAGCTACCTCCTCTGTCCTTTTTAATTTTTTATTTATTTTGGGGGTTTTATTTATTTGAGGCTAAGTTGTCCAGACTGGCCTTAAGTTTGGAATCTTCTTGCTTCAATCTCTACTGTCTGGGATTACAAGCATGCATCAATACACTCAGCAAATTTTGACATTTTGATGATTTACTTTTTGTATAAAAATAATTTTAAGATAGACATGATGGTGCCTGCCTATAATTCAAGCACTGTGGGTGTCTGAGGCAGAAGAATTACAGGTTGGAGCACAGCTTAGACACTTTTGAAATGTAGCAAGATCCTGTCAAAAAGAAAAAGCAGCAAGTTTGAGGATCTAGTTTAGTACAAAGGCCTTGGGCTCAATCTCCTGTACTTCCAAAAAAGAAAAGAAATGGTAATCTACTATAGTCCCTTTTCTCTGTGTGTTTTCCTCCCCCCCCCCCCCCCCCCCCCGTACCGGAGTTCGAACTCATGAATTTGCACTTGCCAAGCAGGCACTATGCCACTGAGCTAAATTCCCAGCTGTTTCTTTTTTTAAAAAATAACTTTTAAAGAGCTTTAGTTTCAAGAAATTTCATACTCTCTTTTTCAGTTTGTGCTGTGCTATTGTGTAGGCGGGCACACCAGTCTGTTTAGCTAGTTCTTCAAGGCTAGGGTGAGTGCTCTTGGGGTGCTTCTCCAGTTCCCTGGGAACCACCCGCTTGCTCTGTGGTTCAGTTCTAGGCACTGGTGGGGCCATGTGTGTGGGCTCAGTCCTCCCAGTATTCCCAGCTTCAGACACCAGTCCCAGGCCTGCACTGTGCAGACTTCCTAACTGCTTGCTGTAAATTGGGGTGCCACCACCTTCCTAAAAGGTGAATTTGGTAAGATGACTCACAGAGCTCAGAATGGTGTACTGATGCCAGGTTCTGCAGGACACTTGGTGAACAGCCTGGTAGAAGAGATGCAGAGGACAACCTGCACAAAGAGGGATACACCTCCCTCCTCCGGAAACAAGGCACATTCCATCTTTGAAGAGTCTCTGCAGGGCTTTTTTTCTTTTTGAGACAGAATCTTACTATGTAGTTCAGGCTGGCTTTGAACTCACTATGGAGCCCAGGCTGGCCTCTACATCACTGTGGTCCTCCTGCCTCAGCCTTGCCAGTGCTGGCATTACAGGCGTGTCCCATCACACCCAGCTAAGAGTCTCTGGATTTACTCTTCACTCTACCCCAGCCCCACTTTAACGCAGAAACAGAAATTGCAGCCCTGTAATTGCTTGACCTTTCTGGTAGCCCCATCCTGAGGTTAGAGGTATTCTCTCAGTCACTTAGCAGCAGTTCAGGTGGCAGCAGTTCAGGTGGCCGGAGGCCCAGGTGAGCGCAGGAGTGAAGATACTTCTGCCATTCAGGACCTGTGCCAAGGGTGCTAAGAGCTTTGGGCTATGGAGGAGGCCAGTGTGTTTCTACTGTATCACAGTCTTACCGAAGAATTTCCCTAGTGCAAGCTCAATTGTTTTTCCTACTTTTGCTACTGTAGGGATTATGTACCAGTATGCGTCACAACTGTGTATGTATTCATGTTGCAAAAATGTATACAGCAACTATGTATTTACTTATACTACTCTACTATAAATTTGTATCGAGTGTTGTTTTTATTTGTTTTCTTTGCAGCAAGTCTTGCTGGGTAGCCCAGGCTGGCCTCAAACTTAGAACTGTCCTGCCTCAGTCTTTGGAGGACTGCAATGTGTGTGCTGTCATGTCTGTTTACATAAAATGTTTAAAATAACAAATTTCTTAGAGTACTCTCAAGAACATATATTTATAAGAAAAAGTATCTGTCATAAAGAAAATTTTTGTAGAAATTCTATTATGTGCAGACCTTTGTAGCATTTATATGACATAGTGTATTTTTTAAATTTAGCCTATAGGGCCAAGGACTTAGCTCAGTGGCATAAGCGCCTGCCTGGCAAGCACTAGGTCATGAATTCAATCCCCAGTACCAAAAAAAATTAGCCACTAATTTTTTTTCGGGGAGGAGGCGGTACCAGGAATTGAACTCACAACCTTGAGCTTGCAAGGCAAACACTGTGGTGCTGAGCCATATCCCTGGTTGAAGCTAATAAATTCTATGCTTAAGATTTGATTTCAAGTTAAAAACCCAGTGTTCTTGTTATGTCTTAAAGAGTAGTGACTAATTCCTTGCAACTCACCTCAGTGTTTTGGTCTTTCTTCCTTAAAAAGCACAATTAGAAAGATTGCAGTTTCACACAATGTCTTTTTTTTTTTTTTTTTTTTTTTTGAGGTTCCAAAATTAAAGTACAGAAGGTCAATGTATTTGTAAGAACTTTAAGAGTCCCAGAGGGAGGAAAAGCAGTGTGTGTGTGTTATGTGTGTGTATGTCCAGCTGTGTAAAAGGATATGTGTGTACACTCACCTTCTGGGAAGAGATGTTAAATGTCTAAAACAGATGTCCCTTTTCTGTGTGTTCTTATGGAGCTTTGGAAAAGAGGGAGAATGGCAAAACTGCAGAATGACCAGAGATAAGACAGGTAATAGTGAATAATAGTACTTGGATCAAGAAACTTGCTTTTATCTCCAGGTAATTGCTCCTGTAATTCCAAATATCAGGGTCAGTCATCCAAGAATTGTAATCCTCTTTCTAGTTCTCCTCATAATCCAAAAAGTTATATTTGTAATCCCACTGAGTCTCTATTGGAATCCCAGCAAGTTAATTCCAATCTACCACCACCAGTGCAACTCACGGCGAGAGTAAAGACACCAAGACATGTTCCAAGTTAAGGGCAGCCAAGGGGTCCTAAATCCAATCCCTGTGAGGTTGTGTGGACAAAGGCCTTGATCCTAGGCCTCTCCCAGAATTTATTATCTTGTGAAGAAGGGGGTGGCTCAGGGATGAGTGACAGTGAGGATGACGGAATTACTGAGTAACTTAAGCTGGCTGGCCAGGTGAGAGAAATGCACCTCTGTAAATTGCAGAGATAAACATATGCAGAAGGATCAAGTCACACAATCTAATTAAGGTAGCAACTGAATTGTTTTGGTAGGCTGTTGCTTTGGTTTCTGGTATGCAAACTCTTGTACCCTGGGGGTGATAGCCTGTTTACTTTGAGGCTCCTACCCAGTTGACATTCCTGGAACTATAAGCTCTAACATCCTGATGTGCTTGTATCCTGAGGAGACAGGACTGTCTGTTGGCTTTAGAGATTACATACCAGCACCTCTGCTAGCCTTATTTGCAATGCTAAGAGCCAATTGAGGAGAGAAGGAAATACCCTAGCCAGTTTTCTACATATCTCTATAATGAAATGTCTCCAAATAACCAAAATCCCAGTAATTGTTTTGCATTCAAGGGAGTCACTGGAGTTGTCTCCACAAGTTGCTGTGTAAATGATATTGTTTTCTATGTAAGAATCAGCCTGCAGGTGTTTATTTTAAAATATAACCTAGGTTGTTATTGTTTAACTGTATGTAGTTGAGAATTAACCATAGCCACTAGGTTCGCTTCTAGAGTAAATTGTTTTTTAGAGTAGAGTTCTTGTAATAATGTTATTAGTTTATGTTAATATTATGTAATGAGGTTTATGTTTGGAAGTCACACTGTACATTTACTATATCTTAAGCCGTTTCAATTCCACTATGCATCTCTTCCTTCTCTTCACTCCTGATTAATCCTGGCCTGGCTCCAGATGGCCACTTCATGGTTTCCTGTCCTCTTTTCTTTACTTTATGTATTTTTGAGGTTTTCAGGTAAGAGAAATTGTGATACTTAACTTGGGGGTGAAGCTGATTTCACTTAACACGATAGTTTCTAGTTCTGTCCATTTTTTCTGCACATGATAGGATTTCATTCTTTATGGCTGAGTGATAGTCCATGATGTCTGTCTGTCTATATCACATTTTCTTTATCCATTCATTTGTTGATGGGTGTCTAGTTTTCACAGCTGTGCTGTTGTGGTTGTGCTGTTATAAACATTGGTGTGCATGTATCACTGTAGAGTGCAGTCCATCTTTCTTTGGAGAGAATATGCCCAGGAATGGATTAAATGGTATTTGTGTTTAGTGTTTGGGGGATCCCCATACTGACTGCTGTAGGGATTGTTCTAGTTTAATCCCCACTGGGGTAGGAGGTTCTGTTCCTCCTCTCCCAGTCCTTACCAACATCTTGATGTGGGCTCTTCTGATGCAGTGAGATGGAATCCCAGGCTAGTTCTTAAATTTCTCTTATGTCTAGAGATACTGAAATTTTTAACTACACTTTTGATTGTTTGAGCTCTCTGGAGAAATAGTCAGTTCATTTGCCCATGTTTTGGTTTCACTGTTTTATTGGTGTTTGAAAGTCCTTTGTATATTTCAGACATTAATCCTCTGTCAAAGCACAGCCGGCGTTCCCATTTGGTGGGTTGTCACTTCCCTATTTCTTTTGCTGTGTGGCAGCTTTTTAATTTGATGCCCTATCTGTTGATTCTCACATTTCCTGTGCTTTTGGAGTCCTATTCAAGATGTCTGTGGTGTGCCTATTCTGATGTCTGTGGTGTCAGGTGTGTTTCCCTTATGTGACAGCAGAGTTTTTGTAGTAAAATCTTGGTTAGTGTATTTCTCCAATAAGTAAGTTATGCGACAGTATATATTTTGCAGGCTTTTAAAAATAGAAATAAGCCCTGGTACTGCAAAAAAAAAAAAAAAAAAAAGCATTTAAAATTTGGATCCTTTTAATTTCAGTTTTTCTTCTTGTTCTATTTTGCAGACATTTCAACCTGCGAATGAAGAGGGACACTTCTCTGTTTAGTGATAAGTTTAAAGTAGAAACATCAGACAAAGTACTTGATTATGATACCTCTCACATTTACACTGGACATATTTATGGTAAGTTGACCCTTACCAGAGCCCTTCCAAGCGTTTTCTACTCGGGGACATGTGTGTGGAGATAGGTGAGCAGGCACGAGAGGGGAGGTGGTGTGCGTCCTCAGCAGGGGAAGGCAGATGCCGTCTCCTTGAAGGCAGAGGGACCATCCAGGAGGACGCTCAGTTCCTTCAGAACTGAACCAGCCAGTTTGTTACCCATGTTCTTTATCCTGGAGGTCATACTCACAGTGAAACCCCAACCCGTGCCTTGGATCTGGGGTGCAGATCTGGATGATCCCTGGGGATCAAGACTACTGCGGCGAGGAGCATGTTGGGGTCTGACCCTTCACCCACACAGATCTGAGCACAGAGACTGCTGCATGGGGATTGCATCTGCCTCTGCATCCTACCTATTTTGGCTTGAGACAGAGTCTTGCTATATAGTGTAGGCTGTCTTCACAGTGATTCTCCTGCCCCAGTCTCTGAGTGCTGGGACTGCAGACATGTGACATCATGCCTGGTAATTCTTCCCCTTCATCTCCACCTCCTTTTGCTCTCTGAGCCCAAATTCATGCAGAAATAAACCCTGCATAAGAGGCATCTGTCTTGTTATTCTTCAGGCCTAATACTCTCATATCTTAGTAAATTTTGTGGGTTTTTTCCTGTTTAAAACAAAATTCAGAGGCAAGTGAATGAAGAATAAATGATGTTTGAAAAAATGACATAGTTTTTGGACCTAACTTTTAACATGTATGTTTAAGGATAAATTACAGTAGCTTCTAAAAGGTGTAAAATATTGACACTAAATACTTTTGAATTGTTAGTTTTCAAACAATTTTAATGATTGTATAATTCTCTGATCTTTCTATTTTTTGGTACCAGGGATTGAACTCACAACCTTGTGCTTGCCAAGCAGGCACTTACACTGCTGAGCTCAACCCTCACCCCTAGTTCTCCGATCTTTGAAGGAAGAAATCGGTAGTAATTTTTCTGATTTCTGTAAAAAAAGAGGGAGAATTAAAAGTAAGCTCCAGAGATCATCTGAGATGAAAATAAAGTGAAATCCATAGGAAAATCTTTCCAGGCTCTTAATGTATCTTGTTGGGCAAATCACCTGGTAGTCTGCCCATTCTTGGTAGGTGATGAAGTGCTTTGACTTCATGATGGGCATAAAGCCAGCCAGTTGGTATGAATGTGTAATTTAGAAATTATACAAAACTTGGGGGCTGGGAACATAGCTCAGTGCAGTGATAGTGAACCTTTTAGAGCTTGCAGTGATAACAGACAGCTAGCCGCGGCTCGTGTGCCACAGAGTCACCACCACTGGCTCAGTACGAGAGCATTTAGCATGCGTGAGACTGAGTCAGTGTCCAGCACCCCAAAACAAACGTGGGAGAAAGAGACAATGCTCAAGATGCATGCCGTGTCTCTATAAGCATTTTAACAAATAAATTTAACTTTGTTTTTTGCTACCATGCCCAACTTCACTATATTTACCCTTTAAAGCCCGCTATGGGTGCAGAGGAAGGTGTATGCATTCCCAGCTAGTTGGAAGCATGAGGCAGAGTATTGCTTGAAGCTAGAGATTTAAGGCCAACCTTCCAAGTGCAGCAAGACCCTAACTCTAAACTAAAATGAAAAAGAAACAGGCAAGGGTGTCAGGGCTGTAGCTCAGTGATAGAGCACATGCCTAGCATGCTTGAGGCCCCAGCGGGTGCGGGGGGGAAGTACTTCCTACCACTTTGTGTCATGCGGCTTTCATGTTCAGATCTTGTGATTAAGGACTAAAATAACATTTTTCCCCCTGTTATTTTAGCTATAGTTGATGGGACAGTATCCCAGATCTTTGTCAGATATCTTTAAAAAAGAATTCTTAATATACTTTTGTTCAGATTCCTTCTGAAATATTTAATAAAATACTTCTATATTTAAAAATATATTTATAAGACCTGAAGGTGGCAAGGAAGCCAAAAGATTCATGTGCAATATGTCAAATGGGAAAAGAGATTTTTTTCTTACGCTAATTAGAGCAGAATTTTTGTGAGTTTTGTTTTGTTTTTTTGAGACAAGGTCTTGTTATGTAGTTCAGGCTGGCCTTGAACTTGTGACCCTCCAGCCTCTACCTCCCTAGTGCTGGCCTAAAGCAGCCTCTACCGTACCTGGCTTAACACAGTACTTTTAAAGGGAATTTTGAGTATCTTTATTCTGAAAGTCTGTTTTATTAGTGGGTCAGCTTGGTTCTAGGTTTAAGTTAGATTAACAAGTACTTATTGAATGATGAAAGCATGCCTGACAGGAAGTGTTCCAGGTGCCAGGTTATGGTTGCCACAAGGCAGATGCTATGTTTTTTTATTGTTAGTAGTCATTACATATTTTTGACTGAATTCTGGTTGTTGCTCCTGTTTCAGATTCAACTTTATATATTTTGTGTGAAAATTCCCCAGTAATGTTTACTCAGAATATTTGAAAAAGAATATAAGAATAGCTTTTTAAAGGGAAATGACTAACATGTACAAGTCAAATTCTGAAGACTTTGCTGCTTTCCTTCTTAGGTGAAGAAGGAAGCTTTAGCCATGGGTCAGTTATTGATGGGAGATTTGAAGGATTCATCCGGACTCGTGGGGGCACATTTTACATCGAGCCAGCAGAGCGATACATTAAAGACCGAGTCTTGCCCTTTCACTCCGTCATCTATCATGAAGATGATATTAGTAAGTGCTTGTATTTTATTAAGTAGCCTCTTGCAAAAAGGCATCTAAGTGGTTGAAACCTTGTGGAGAGGAAGCCTGAGCTGTTCTGTTCCCTACAGTGTTAACCAGGTTGGAAAAGTTTCCTGAGTGCAGCCTCTGGTCATCCCTGTCTGCGGCAGTGGTGGTGGGAAGCCTAAGGCAGTCCTGCCTTGCTCCTGTGATGCTGTGAATTCTGCTGACCGAATCAGCCGGAGTAGATTGAACCAGGGCTCTTACAGTCTATATCAGCCAGGCTATTGTTGCTACTATCACCTTTCAGGTGTGGCCTGAAGAAGGAAAAGTACAGTTTATGTGTTTGTGATTTTTAAACCTTTGAGTGCTTCTTTTTGCAATCCTGAAATAATGACCTCAGCTTGGTAAGACTCCAGGCTTGTGTTTTGTCCTCTACATACCTGATCTTTATATAGTAATAAGTTATTGGAAGAATTCTCTATCTTTGTTTTAAGAACAGAAAAAAATACTTAGTTTGCCATTTAATTCTGCCTTTGTCTGACCATAGTTATGTAATCATGAGGCTGCTTTGTTGAAATACATTCCTCTTATTTAACTCTTGGATATTCTGTCTGTTTTTACTCTAATGAGGCTAGTCCTACAGTTTTTGCCTATTTTCCTAACTTGGCAGCTTCCTCTTGGTTTCATTTTCTTTTTGGCACAAAGGAATTTGTCAATAATTTTGTCCTCATCTCTAGTAATATAATGGCAGATTTAACCCTCAGCAGCTGTCTGCATTTCTGACTGCCCACCTGCTTGTCATTGTTGATGCCCAATGCCATTTCTTTTTTTTTTTTTTTTTTTTTTCCTTTTTCCTTTTTATCGGTACCGGGGATTGAACTCATGACTGCCTGCTTTCAAGGCAGGCGCTTATGCTGCTGAGCTAAATCCCCAGCCCCCACAATGCCATTTGGAAAAGTGATGCAGGTGTTTATGACTTCAGCTAGAGGTGAACTCAGTTGTCAGCATTCCCTGCTTATTTTTCACTCATCCTTTTTGACCCATTTTCCAGTTCCTGGCATTTCAAACTCTGTTCTTCCAGTGTCCAAGTGTTAGGTTTTTGTCTGGATGTGCCCCGAAAGCCTTATACATCATGGGGCCAGGCTTTTAGGGTTCACGATCGATTCATGGTCCAATGCTGGGATTATTGATGTGGCACACCTGCCCTAGAATGGGTAGCCTATGTATGATACAAGGAGGGAAAGAGGCTTGCTGTCTCGCTCCTCCTCCCTTTTGCTCTTGTTGCTTTTGCTGTCTTCCACCACCATGAGCAGTTGCCTCTGCCCTGCCTCCCTGCCTTGGAGCCAGCTGGTGTGGACTGAAACCTCCACAGACTGAACTAAAAAACCTTTCCTCCTTTAATTTTGGGTCAGATATTTCGTCTCAGCAATGAGAAAAAAAGTAACCAGTGCACCAAACAACAGTCCTCTTCCTTAGTAGGAATGTGAATTCTTTTGCCTTTTCTTCTGAAGGGTTTACCCAGATGGTTTCTGCTTTGCCATGTAGTGTTCTTAGTACTGAAATCAGTCTCAGGTTTACCTCCACAGACAGGGGGTACAAGTTTTCCAGGTACAGTTGCTGTGTCTTTTGCTTCTGGTATTCCAGCTAGCATTTGTCAGGGTAGCAGATTCTTCATAAATATTTAATGAAATACTGAGATGCTTTCCCTTAGGATGTTCCCTCAGAATCACACCATGCTTTCTGGTGGGGAGGAAGGTTGGGGAAGAGAGGAAGTAGGGTGATGGGTGCCCTGCCCTGCTCACCGCCCCCTCGGTCCAAGAGTGGAGCTCTTGGGAGTCTGCTCTGCCTCTCATGACCCTGCTACTACTCTTTCCTCCTCCCATTGCTTTCTTGTGTATAGCTTGAATATATTCTACTCTTTCTTCATTTTCTCATTTCTTTCTTGTATTTTAATTACATTTCCCCATGTTGCAGAGTACAGCACTGTTTTGTTGTCGCTCTGAGACAGTTTTGCTATGTAGTCATGCTGACCTTGAACTGTGTAACCCTGGCTGGCTTTGAACTCAGGTCCACTTACTCAGATTCCCAAGTGCTGGGATCACAGGCATGTGCCACCACAACCAGCTCTACAGTAGTTCTAAAAATTTTTATGTCAGGATTTCTTTTTCCCTCAAAAGTGCTTATTTACATTGGATATAAACTTAGTTTTCTGTTCTTTTTACACTTTTTATTATTAAATATTAGTGGTATTAAAAGTTAAAGAAGTAATGTTTGGAATGATTTTGTAATTCTTGCTAAGTGGAGATATATAATACAGGAAGGAACTGCTTTGAACAGAGTTTGTAATGTGTGCAAATTTAGGCGGTCACTTTTGTTTATCTGAGAGGAGGTTTTGCTGGGTTGCCCACGTAGTAGTGATCTTTCTGCCTCAGCCTCCTGAGTAGCTGAGATGAAAGATGTATTGTGCTGGGCTCAGCATTACATTCACTTTTGAAAAATTATCTGAGAGTCTGTCTGGTTAACCCTTGTAGGAGAAAACATCAGTTTTAACCTTTCAGTTTCTAAGTTGTCGCTGGGTTCCAGGCTGGATAGCAGCCTGGCTGGCTGCTCTGAAGGGACACATAATGAGGCCAGTCAGCGCTGGCGCCTGGGCACCTGCTGTGGGTCCTTAATTCTGCCTGTGACAGTAGAAGAGCCAGGGAAACACGGAGAATGAGCATAGCTGTTCTCCAGTAAGACTTCATGGGCTCTCAATTTTTTTTTTAATCTTTGGGACAGAATTTCACTATGTAGTTCAAGCTGGCCTTGAACTCACAGGACATAACATTTTTTCAACTTTAAAAATGTATATTGGGCGTGTGGTGCACACTTCTAAGTCCTGGTCTGGGGACTCAGAGGCAGGAGGATCGCTGCCAGTTGGAGCCCAGCCTGGACTCAGTGAATTGAAGTCCAGCCTGAGCTGAGTACTGAAACCTTGTCTCAAAAATCAAAACAAAACACATAGTAACCGTTTAGCTCGCACCTCAGACCAAACAGCAGCAGTACTTTCTGTCCTTCCAGCTGGGGTTCGCCTGTGCCCTCGCAGAGGCCGGGGTCGGATGACTTGCTTCTCACTGGCTGTGTGGTCCTTGTCAGCGGTCAGCGGGTTCCTCCGGGGAAGGTACGGGAAGAAGTATGCCGTGCTGGGTCCAGTGTGCGTTCAGCCTCTCCTCACCTCGGTTCCTCGCGTAGCTCAGTAGCTGTGTGAAGCCCCGCGTAGCTAACTGCAGGCACACCGAGCCTGTGTACTTGTGTGTGAGGCGGCAGCTCAGGAGACTGCGCTCAGCGTGGTCCTGTTCTCACTCACGCGCTCCTTGCTGCCCTCACAGGGAAATACCTGTGGCTCTCATTGTCCTGTACCGAAGTCTGTCTCCTAAAATCATAGCTTTGTAACTACTGCTGTGCGAGGCCAAATGCGCGCTTTCACTGGCACGAGCATTTTATTTTACAAGCAATTACAGGATCAAGGGTGCCCTTTAATGACTATTTTTTTTTTTAATGATTTACTTGATTACCGGAGCTCGTTTTTGTCCCGAAGTACCGGTTTGTGACCTGTGCACCTCTGCGAGGCTGCTGCTGCGTCCCAGCAGCCATGTCCCTTCCCACTGTGTGTGGCCGGAAATCGCGGGTGCTATCTGGCAAAAATATTTCACAGCGCTGCCCGAGCTTTGCAGACCCGGTTAGGGGCTGCATGAAGTTGCAAAGGTGAATCCTTGGGAACTGCAGTAGTGGAAAGCACCATCTCCTAGCCAAGGAAGCGCTCCCAGGTTGGCGCGGCAGGACTGCCCTTCACCCGCTGTGCCTGGTCCTCCCCTCTAACGTGAGGGAAGCGAGGCAGCCCAGTCCGGTTCAGTGGACCGACCAGACCGGACCGGACTGCTGTCCTGGGCTCAGCCAGCAGTGTGCGCCCTTCCATGTGCTGCCTGCCCAGGAGGCAATGCTCTGAGCCGCTTTTTTATGCCATATTTCTGTAGAGCTCCTTAACCTCTGGATTTAAAATATCTTAATCAAACATGCAGAGCTGCAGAGTACACTTGGATTTGGTACTTTTATTGCAGATGAAGTATCTTTTCCTGTCGCCTGAGAGCTGGAATCTGGCCCCACCTTCAGCCGCAGCTCTCCTAGTCTCTCCTTTCTCTTGAGCTTCAATGGGAAGGTGTCTAATTTATTCTACTTAACAATTAAACTTTTTACCATTTTACCATTTCAACACGGAAGATTCATTCATGTAGAAAAGTCTCTTCTTTCAGGATATTGCTTCTTTTTTTTTTTTTTGTTACTGCTTCTAATACCTTTGAAGAATCAGTTAATTCCCTGTTGTGGCTTTGAAGTTGTCGAGGTAGGTGAATTTCATCACAGTCAGGCTTGCAGCTCTGTCACTGTGAGCAGGAAGGAGGAACAGATGGAGGAGTTGAATTGTGCCTATCTGATAGCATCAGGTTGATGGTCACTCCTAAATGTGAGACTCTGAATTGACTTTGGAGTGTCCCAGCTATAGTATCCAGCGTGGAGCATGGGGACACCCCTGGCCTGTTGGGGGTGACAGGCTAGGGAAGCCAGTTGGGGAGGCTGAGGCCCAAAGTGCTCAGTTGGTAATTACTTCAGCAGAGTGGTTTGAGATTATTAAAATGTCTCAAGCCTTCAGAATCTTGAGGTATACAGGGTGTTCACCTCTGTACTGCGTCATTTAATTTATGTGCTTAGCACTGATCCTGAAGTACTGAATTTATTTCAGTGTGGTGATAGCATTTGAAACAATTATGAAAATGTAGCGGTGTGGCTGGTTGTTGGTGGTACATACCCATATATCCCAGCACTCTTGGAAGTGGACAGGAGGATGTAAGTTTGAGCCAAGTTTGGGCAGTTCAACAATGTGGTGAGATGCTGTCTCAAAATGTAAGAAGGGGGAATATGGGGATTAAGGGCAGTGTAAAGGCCCTGGGTTCACTCTCCATTTTTAAAGAATCCTA